AACAATTTAGATCAGCGGTTCTCAACCTGTGGGTCGCAACCCCTTTGGTGGTCGAATGACCCTTTCACAGAGGTCGCCTAAGACCATCTGGCATATCAGATATTTATATTACGATTCATAACAGTAGCAACATTACAGTTATGAAGTAACAACGAAAATAATTTTATGGTTGGGTCATAACATGAGGAACTGTATTTAAAGGCCCAGAAGGTTGAGAACCACTGATTTAGATGAATTGTTATTCTAAATTAGACAACAGCAAGTTGAAAATTATACTTCTTAGTAATTTCATAATCTGAAATTTAGATTTTTTTTCTATACTAACAACAGGCTGAAAGATAACCCTGAAGTGTAGAAAACCTCATCAATAACAGTGTCAAGCTTTGGAAAACAACAATAAGAGTGCTTACAGCTGTAGGATTCTAAGTGTATTAGACTCAATTTTATATATGTGTATGGAGTAACTTTTGACATTATAGTGGAGCTATATCCTGTCTGATGAGAAAGATGCATTATAACAAGGTCGGCCTATCTTTTTCAGAATGTCCACCTTTAAGAAGTAAACTCCTAGTTTTCAGTTCAAAGTCAACTTTAGGAAGTGGGGTTATTTATATTGAAAACAAAATTATTTTTGATACTTTTGCTCTTTTCATAATAAAACTGATTACCCCTTCATAATAATAATTGTGAAAAGAAACACAGTATAATAAGTAAAGAACACATTTGCTGTTTTTATTGGTGCCTTGCATGGCAGTAATACTGAAAAAAAGAGAATGCAAAAACAAAAAAACAAAAACAGGTTGGTGGCAACCCACATCTTTTTTTTTTTTTAAGAGTACATAAACTCCTGTTTTATTTTTATTGTGGCATGAATGATAACATAAAACCGAAAACATGAAAATATACAACTTATATTACACTATGTGTTATGAACAAAATATAAATCTATAACTCTATGTTATATTTACATAATTATTTATTTTATTAAATTTCAAGTGAGATGGTAGGTTGCACATACTTTGTTTTAAGCTCCAGGCATTTGATTGTCTCTTTTCTACTTTTAAAAACAATTTTCACTCATAAAATCCAAAATGTTAGAAGGACTAAGGGCTCTAGAGCCAGTGGAGCTATATAAATACTGTTATAGTGAACCAGTGACAGAAACACTGGGAGGACAGGAATCAATCAGTAGAAAACTCAACACAACATCATCTTCAACCTGGGAAACTGAGAGTTATAAGAAAATTTAAAATTAAATACTGTAAAAGCCTGTCTAAACAAAAACCTACACCCTATAAGACAAAGAGATATCTGAACCACTTTCAGTGGGCTTCATATTTTTCCTTGCAGACCCCATAGTTTTTCTTTTACTATTCACTTGATAAACAAATATCTTATAAACCTGTTTGTAAATATACAGCTGTTTATTACAATTCAATAATTTACCTATTAGAATGATTGAAAATGTTATTATTTCTGACGTTTAAAAGTGATCTAAGAGATTTCTTCTGGAACAGTAACAACTTCTGGCCTAAGAAAATATCTGAAATGGGACCATGAAATACTTAAAGATAATGATCTTTAAACGAATTAAGGTAAAAGTTTACTCCAGAAATCAAATCTAGGAAATAATTTCATCAAAGAAGACTCTTATATTTGTTCCTTATAAGAGGATTTGGTTTCAATGATTATGTTCTTTGGGAGGGATTTTATACATGGTTACCTCTTCACTGCAGTTGCCAAATAAATGCTAAAAATTGACTCAACTAATTTAGGTATAAGTGTACTGAAGAGTACTTTTGTATTTTATCCAATTGTAGTAAGTAGCCAAATTGTTAGCAACTTGTAAATGAGCAACTTTAACTTATTTTTCTTCAGTAATGTTCTTTTAGATCCATATTAAAACATGACTATTTTCAGAGGAACTGATTACAACAGCCATAAACACACACACACACACACACACCAGAATTCTGGCAGGATTACTCTGTACTTGGGTAAGTGTGAGTGTGTGTGTGGGTATGAGAGAGAGAGAGAGAGAGAGAGAGAGAGAGAGAGAGAGAGAGAAGTAAATGGGGAGGGAGGGAAAGAAAGGAGAGAGGAGGGAGATTATGTTCATTTTAGTTTAATCTTACTTTTATTTCCTCTACCTTATCCTTTTGGTCAACATGGGGCACAGAAAAAGAATACAAGGTTTTAAGATCCTTTAAAAAAAATTTATAAACCAATCAAATGCCAGAAAGGCAATGTGTTAACACAGTATGTTGCTATTCATAGCACCTTTATCAAATGACTTCAAAGCACTTTAAACATTAATGTAATTTTTTTTTCTTTTGGGGAAAACTAAGGCAAAGAAATGGTAACACCAGTGTGTTAGATGTCAGAACAAGAGAACATAGTGCAGGGCCATGAACTTGCTTTTGTTTCAGTCATGCACAGTTTAGTCTCTGTGACATAAATGTAACTAAATAAAGCTAACTGAATTTCAGCAGTTAAAGGTCACCATTAACAATTTTCTTTTCCCTTTTAAATAAAACAAAATGAAAAACAAACGTAAAAAGACCAAACAGAAGTGTTTTGTCAATTCACTGGTAATGTGTGCTAGAATTGGTTTCAGCCTTGCATGCCATCAAGTGGCATCTACCTGGAGCTAAAACAAAGTATTCTTGTAGCCCGAAGTCATGAAATGAAAACCAAGAAAGTACTTGTAGAACATGGGGTAAAATAAGTATCCAGCAAATGTGAGACGTGAACCCACATAAATCAGAGAGAATTTCTTAATGAAGACAGAGAACAAATTTTTAAAAATCTGTTTTCACATTGTACATAATAACGCTATAAAAACAAGTGTCTATTTTTTCTTATCCAGAGTGCTTGAAAACAAAATGAAACAAACAAAAAAATTGGCTCTAGATGACTGTGGCAATTAAATAACCAAAATGACTGATGAGAGCATAAGTTAATTAAGATTGAATGTGACCCTCCTATTAATTCACTCCTTTGTATTAAACACCAGAACTTGACATTATTGGGGCCAGATTTTTTTTTTTTAAAGGAGAAAACTTATGTAAGGAGCAGTAAAATTATCTGGGTAAATGTGTGTGCATGTGTGTGTGTGAAAATTCATTTTAAATATCTAACAGCTTATTGGCTGCACTTCCCAATCAGAGCAGAATAAAATAGAAAGGGAGAAATAAATTATACATAACTTACTAATCTGGGAACAGCTGACCATTATTATTATTATTATTACTATTATTATTATTTTTATCATCATCATCATTATTACAACACTAGCAAAAAGAGGCAGTTCAAATGAAAATACAGTCATCAAAAACAAACAGAAAAACAAACAAAACAAAATCTCTGACATGCAGGATATGATCGGCCCCTCCAAGCAAAACCCCAGAGCAAGTCTTTTGAGAGAGAGAAAAATAAAAAGGACTTCTTAGTTATATGCAAAAATCAAATTGTAAGGTCGGGTTGGGGGGAGTGGGGTGGGACAGGAAGGTGATGACTGGAGTTAAACTCACAGCACTTCCAAACTACTGGTTGGAGTATTTACTGTTTGATGCTTCCGCACAAATAATGGCAACTGACTTTCAATGAGTTTGCATTTATTTGCACAAGGCCCACACTGCCTTAGCATTTGGCTGGCAACACTGAACAAGCAGTCCCGTCACCATCCATTGTTGCTCTATGCACACACTCCGCTGGAACCTTAAACTTGGACTCCAGGGGCTTCCTCTGACAGCCAGGGAAGCACAGTGGTAAGGGTCCCCGGGTTCAGCCAGGCTCCATTGTGTTGGGCTGCGATGACTTTTAATAAAATCCCGCTTTTTGCATGAGATGCGCGTGGCCCACAATTCTGAAATGCAAATGGCCTCCACCTCGTGTGTGTTGGAGAGATGAAAGATACCTTATAAAAAACCATCAGTTCCATTTCCTCAACAGGAGAGGATGGAATTTTGAAGAAAGAAGCTAATTCTCTATTTCTGGAACATGGGCAAATGTATTCAAGGAAAACAACAATTGTGTTTGTTTGATGTTATCAACAGAAAAACAAACAGAAATCATTAAGTAGCAAACATTAGGGAAACCAACTGACCAGGGAGAAGGGACTTCTGGGAGCAGTTTGCTAGTAGCTTCCATATTATACATGCGCACGTCTATTACACAGGGCCACCTGATTCATCCAATAGTCATTATATTAGACATTTAAAAATATAATTTCTGAGCCCTATATTGGTTAAGTTGTCATTTGAAGTGCAAAGTCAAGGTCAAGGTTGCTTCCAGACCAGTCACTTAGGAGGATGTGGGATTTCATCCCCAGGTGTGGGTTTAACTCACAATGGTCCAACGTTATTCCTATTAGTACCATAATCACACACATACATACACACAAAAATCCAAGATCAGAAAATATTTTTCTCTAAATTTCTTCTCTCTCTCTCTCATTTTCTCTCTCTCTCTCTCTCTCTCTCTCTCTCTCTCTTTTCACCTGAGAACAGCACCTACAGTTTCCATTTAAAAAAAAGTCAAATCTCACCAGCTGCTGGTATTTTAGGTTTTTCAAGGGATTGTCTAAGATATAACACTGTCCTAACTTAAGAAGGAACAGGAAAAAGAAAAAAAGAAAAGAAATGAACTGGGTCAACACGTCAGTACAAATTTGGCACTTGCTCAAAGATGTAGTGTGGTGTGCAATAAAGTCCTCTAAAGAAAATACATAATTGCTTATTTTGTGATGGATAGCAAGGAAGTTAAAAACAGGCTCTTTTTCCCTCTTCCCCCCCCATGCACAGACTTCCATCTTTAAAATATAGAGATGGAGAAGGTGGAAAGAAGTAAAGAGAAATTCATCTTTCTTTTTTTTTTCTGTCAGGTGCATTACAAAATAAAAAAAGGAAATAAAAGAAAAAAAAAAACAGAAAAGGAAGGAGGAAAGGAAAAGGAACCCCTCCCCCAGAAAACCCCCAAAAGAAAACAAAACTTATTTCTTTTTAAAAATTGTAGCACAAAACAACAAAACACATTCACAAGCCACTTGTTGGCACTGTGTACCTGAGTGAGAATTTCTAGAACATTGTAGAACAAACAGCCATAAAGTTTATTAAAAAAAAAAAAAAGTTGACGGGTAAGACTTCAGTGCTTGGATGTAGCAGCTGAATTACTGGCATTATTTTACCCATAGCTTATTTCAATCTCTTGTTGATATTGTTGTTTGCTTGTTGTATATATTTTTTTCCTTTCCAAGCCTTTTGAGGCTGAGGTCTATTAGTCAGCTGATGTCCCAACTATTTAAGACTAACAGTTAAAGTAACAGTCAGTGTATGAGAAAGTTAATGTGCTTGGCCACTGGTAAGGATGAACCAGCTAGGGCTTCTTTAAGTCCTAAGGTCACGGCAATCTTTTGACCCTTATCAGTTGGCTTGTCCTGCAATATGGTTTTCACTGTCACTCCCATAATCTACATCTGGGTCATCCTCTTCCTCATCGTATTCATCATAAATTTCTCCGTTGATGTCCTCAGCCTGTATCTCCTCTTTGATATGTGGCTCCTCTCCTTTCACGCCGTAAGTGCTCTGGATGACGGGCATCCCAGGCTCGGGGCTGCTAGACACGCTTGAGTGCTCGGAGGGCAGGTGAGGGGAGGGCATCCCAGCCATGGTGATGGCTCCAGGGTACACAACACCAGCAGTAGCGATGGGGATCTGTGCTTGTTGCCTGTCAAGAGAGAAATGCCCCCAAAGAGACCGTGGTGAATGAGTAGTTACATGCGGGCCTTCCTATATCATTAATTTGCTCAGTTTGTCCAACACTAAGGCAGTGATTTTCTTACTATTGCCCAACATTTAAAAGTTGTATCCTACTTCGATTCTAATGCCTTACTGCCATGTAGTGCTTTATAGATTACAAGACATGTGTTACCCGTTGGATTTTTGAGATAAATTCTGTTTTGTTACTATTCTAATTTATGAAAAAATTAAGAAGCAGAAAGATTAAGCAAAAGAAACCAAATTCTTGACCCCTAGTTCATTTCTTCTTCATTGCAGCATGCAGAAACATTGAAAAAAATAATTACAATTCAATTTTAATGGAAAGATCCTAAAGTATTAGAACTCTGAAAGTAATCGATTGCCCAGAACTCACCAGAACTAAATAATATCATATTCCACCTAATCCCTGACATAGATTTAGGTGGGGGTAGGAAACAACGCCAGTCTTATGGGAGGACAATCTCCGAAGCTACACAGGCCTCAGGGCTTAGAAAGATTCTACCCTTGTCTTAAAGGTCTGTTGTCACAGTCTTAAAGTTCTTAATAATTTTTTAACTTAAATTCTTTATTGTTTAAAGTATTACATAAGTCTCCTTTTTCCCCCATTGACCATTCCCTCGCTGCCCTCACCCTCCAACATGCCCACTCATCCCCCACTGCCCCCACCCACCGCAGTCTGTGTTCATTGATTATGCTCAATATGCATGCATACAAGCCTTTTGGTTGATCTCTTACCCCTTCACCCCACCGCCTTCCCTCATAGGTTGGACAGTCTGTTCGATGCTTCTATGACTCTCATGTTCTTCTTCATTGCAGCATGCAGAAACATTGAAAAAAATAATTACAATTCAATTTTAATGGAAAGATCCTAAAGTATTAGAACTCTGAAAGTAATCGATTGCCCAGAACTCACCAGAACTAAATAATATCATATTCCACCTAATCCCTGACATAGATTTAGGTGGGGGTAGGAAACAACGCCAGTCTTATGGGAGGACAATCTCCGAAGCTACACAGGCCTCAGGGCTTAGAAAGATTCTACCCTTGTCTTAAAGGTCTGTTGTCACAGTCTTAAAGTTCTTAATAATTTTTTAACTTAAATTCTTTATTGTTTAAAGTATTACATAAGTCTCCTTTTTTCCCCCATTGACCATTCCCTCGCTGCCCCCACCCCCCAACATGCCCACTCATCCCCCCACTGCGCCCACCCCCCGCAGTCTGTGTTCATTGATTATGCTCAATATGCATGCATACAAGCCTTTTGGTTGATCTCTTACCCCTTCACCCCACCGCCTTCCCTCATAGGTTGGACAGTCTGTTCGATGCTTCTATGACTCTCACGCTACTTTTGTTCATCAGTTTATGTTGTTCATTATATTCCATAAATGAGTGAGATCATGTGATATTTATCTTTCTCTGACTGGCTTATTTCACTTAGCATAATGCTCTCCAGTTCCATCTATGCAGTTGCAAATGGTAAGAATTCTTAATGAATTTTTAAACAGGGACCCTGTATTTTCATTTTGCATTAGGAGCTACAAATTATGGGCTAATCCTAGTAGAAAGGGATTAATAAATGGTGTTCATGCATTCTTTCACTCATTCATATGTTCATTTGTTCACTACTTCTCCAAGAAGTATGGGGTTTCATCTGAGCTTTGCAAAGAGCCATGCACTGGTGTATAAACCATAGAACCCAGACAGAGCATGATGATCTTTTCAAAGGAATGGAGGGGGTGGGGCATATTTGAAAAGGTTTTTTCTAAGGTATCCTCTGACCATTTTCATTACAGTATTTATTCTAAAAAGCTCTTGGGGTCTTACTTATTTCTGTTCCAAGTATGAGCAACTTTATTTCTGTATTTTTTGAGAAAATTCTGCAGAAGCAATGCAGTTGCAGGTAGCATATTATGGGGTGCTCAACAGCATTGCTGTAGGAAAAGATAAAACATCCCAAGAGCTGCTTTTTAAAAAATTGTTGACTCTAGCCCGGCTGTCATGGCTCAGTGGTTGAGCATCAACCTCTGAACCAGGAGGTTACAGTTTGATTCCTGGTCAGGGCACACACCTGGGTTGTGGGCTTGATCCCCAGTGGGAGGCATGCAGGAGGCAGCCAATCAATGATTCTCTCTCATCATTGATGTTTCTCTCTCTCTCCCTCACCCTTCCTTTCTGAAATCAATAAAAAATATTTTTTAAAAATTGTTGACTCTATTACTGATGTCCCCAGTTTCCTCCCCCTTTGTCTTGCCCTCCTCCAGGCCTTCACCACATGATTGTCTGTGTCCCTGGGTTATGAGAGCTGCATTCTTCATATATACTGATTTCAGAGAAAGGGAGAGGGAGAGAGCAAAACATCCATGAGAGAGAAACATCAACTGGCTGCCTTCTACACACCCCCAACTGAGGACTACTGAGGATGAAGCCGGAAACCTGGGTATATGGTTCATGCATGGTGTTCATTTTTAGGTTGTATTCTCTCAACAAAATTGTTACTTGTGGTGGCATTTATCTCTGCGAAGCCTTGGGAGTAATTAAAACCAACGAGGAAAAGAACCAGCAATACTTCTGAGTTTTGAAGAGCAAACTTCAAAATCATTTACTAGAGCCCACAACCCGGGCATGTGCCTGGCCTGGAATTGAACCAGCGACCTCCTGGTGCATGGGAGGACGCTCAACCCACTGAGTCACACAGACCAGGCAAGAGCTGCATTCTTAATTCAGAAGAGACCTTTCTCATTCACACCTGGTTGTGCCCTAAATAGAGTCCCTCATTTGTGTGCCCTACAAAGACCACTCACTGTATGTGCCTTGATCACCCAGAAACCTCTCTAAACCCAGAAATCAGTGTTTCTTTCTTTTCAAATCATTTTTTGGTTGTATTCTCTCAACAAAATTGTTACTTGTGGTGGCATTTATCTCTGCGAAGCCTTGGGAGTAATGAAAACCAACGAGGAAAAGAACCAGCAATACTTCTGAGTTTTGAAGAGCAAACTTCACAATCATTTACTTTCAGATACTAGATTTTCAAGCCAGCCGTCTACCGAGCTCATGTTAGAGCCATTGTTCCAGGCGCTCGGAGTGAACTGACAGGGATGGATGCTCCTCCGGGATCTGGGGGAGGATTTACTCTGAAAGGACACTGCTCAGGCTCTTCTCCAACATCCCGCTTCGCCAGCTAAACACACGCCTCCCATCCCATTCAATAGAACAGGAGTGTTTTCTAGAAAACACCACGGAACGGTCCGTACCCAACGTTGAAGTATTGCCGCATCTCCTGCCGCCGGTTCCGCATGATCGCCTTGTATTCCCCGATGCGCAGCTTCTTGCCGTCCACGAGGCAGGTGCGCTTCGGCCTGGGCTTGTATTTGTAGTCGGGGTACTTCTCCAGGTGCTGCTTGCTGAGACGCGCTTGCTCCTCATAATATGGCTGTTTCTCTAGGTTTGTCATAGCTTTCCAGCGAGACCCTACGGGGAAAAGAAGGTTAGGGTTCCGCTTGGCACAGCTGCCGAGGATCCTAAAGAGACACACCTGAGCACAAGAACATCTAAAGTAAAAATGTTGGCCCAAATCCAGAAGGACATAATCATGTTTTTGATTCGTGAGCTTTGACTCAAGAGGTGAGATTCCACCAGGATGGAGGTGTTAGGGGTTCTGTCTTCAAGGAAACTGTGCACCCAAAGGTCCAAATGCTGGGCAATAGATGTACTTTTTTTCTGGCATGAATGACCAAGTTAGCCAAACTGGTCTGGTATGTACTTAACAGCTTATAGGTAATTTAATGGATATATCTTTCATTTCTATGTTAGACCATGATAGAATTCAAGTGTGAACTAAAAAGTTATGCAAAAACTCATTACATATTTTGAATCTGAGGTTAATTATCTAGTTTTGAATATTTTTATGTAGGGGTGTATTACTACAAAGGTTTCTAATGTTTATTATATATAATTGCCATTCTCTCAAAATGTTTACATATATTTACAAGAATAATTATAGTTTAATAGTTCATTTTATTACAATTTTAATTATAAAATATTATATTAATGAACATGCACTGTTTACTGTGTGCTAGGGACTGTGGTAAAATTTTAGATAAATTGTTTCATTTTTATTTTTCACCACAATTCTATAAGATAGCTTTAACACCTACTTCCATAGGTTGAGAAAATTGAAGTTCAGGTAGATGAAGTAACTCACCCAAGGCCACACAACTATTAAATTGCAGATTTGTGACTCAAGGTCAGGTTTGATGGAATTGAAAGTATTCAACAATGTATGCCTTTACACACCTATACCCACCTACTAAATATGATCTAGCAGAGGTCAGAATTACATTAACAAGTAAGGAAGACTTTTAATAAAACACTTTCAATAATATATAGAGATATTACTTTATAGTATGCATTACTAATATTAACTCAAATTGATTTCCCCCTCCTTTTCACTTTTTTGTTTTGTATTCAACTAGGAATGCAAAAACAACTCCTGAAGCTTAATTACAAATAGTTTATGCTAATTCTCAATAGAGATAAAATTTAAAGCTTAACTGCTGTCAGTATGGCTATGTGAAGTACTAAAAGGAGTCGTAGGAATAATGTTTATTTCTTATTGAACATGTGAAAAAAATCTATTTGCAGATGGAATGCGCTTATCTCCAAAAATTCAGCTCAACCCTTTTCAAATGCAAAAAGATCCAAATTACCAGAATTAGGAGATCCCTACCCAATATGTATGGGCACTGCTGCTTTTACCTGCCTTCCGGAGTCATCTAAGCAAGATCTTAAAAGCTTTCAAATGGGTTCATTACTCAGGCATAACTCCACATCTCAAATGCAAATAGCTCCTGATGAATAGTTCTTGCAGGGAATTCCCCAACCTGGGCTGTTAACTGTCTTAAAGGAACACAAGGGAAGGGGCAATAGCTCTTCCTTTAGAATTGTTTCCTAAACAATTTGTAACAGGTGTTCCAAAGGTTTATAAACAAATTTTTCCAATCTAGGCAGTCAATATGATTTTGTTCTATTTACAACAGAAACAAGGTTACAGTTCAAACAATAGAATTTATTTTTCCATTCCTTTATCAAACTTGTGTGTAATTAGCAGTGTCCAACATTGTTAGTTATAGGTTCAGGCTCAGATTCCTTATTGCCCAACATTACGCTCAAGTACTTGAAAACCATTATGTTGTTCTCATGGCAAATAAATACACAAATAAAAGTATATCACCATTGAACTAGGGATCAATTCTTTTTGTGGAGTTTCTTGTAAGTATGTACAGTATACCAGAATTTTGTATTTCATATCAGGGACTGAAAAAATGAGCTGAGCAAAATAAACTTACTGAATAATTATAGGAATACACTACAAAATGGGTCAAGAATGGTTGACTTATAATTCACTGGTTACCTTTATCACCAACCCACAGAACAACAACAACAGCAAAATAGCATTTTCATTTTGAATAGAATGGCCAATGATTCTTCCCAAAGTCTGAATATTATATAAGCTTGAAAAGAATATGTTTCTCTAAGGAAAGGAACTGTTTCTGCCTCATAGTAACCTGCCTTGGTATGTGAAAACTTTTTTTTAGATTTCCCACTCCGTGCATGATGCTGTATTAATTACTGACTATGCAGTGGTGAATTATTAGTGGGTCTTCTTTTCTTACAGGGGAGGAAAATATCTTAAACATCTAATTATACAATTTATTATTTTAATTATAGTTAAGGAAAGTATAGGAAGCTGTAAGAACATATGGTAAAGAGGTGGAATCAGTCTTCTGTAGGTGAGGAAGGCTCTGCTGCAGAAGTGACTCCGATAGGTATCAGAGAGAGAAGAGCATCCTATGGGGGAAGAATGGGATGGTCAAGGCCTTGCAGTTAAGGCCTTGCAGTAGGAAGGGGGATTAGATGAACTTAAAGAAAGTTGGGTATGGCTAAAATGCATACAGAGAAAGAGTATATATATATATATATATATTATAGCTATGTGTAATGAAAGAGAAATTAATTTTCAGAGAAGTTGGCTTCTAAATATGGCATGACCCAGAATCACACACTATTTAGACATTTACTAGCATAATTTCTCTGGAGTTATCGCTAAATTCTAAGATACATTTTAAAATTTTACGGTAGCATAGTTACTAGTCCTTTTAAAATTAAAAATTAAGAGAGTTTAATCATTTTCCAAGTACAGGTCTTTTTATTTCCTAGACATTTACATTTTTTATGCAATTGCCAATAGGACTGTTTTCATAGTTTCCCTTTCTGATAGTTCATTATTGATGTATTTAAAAAAGATAGCACCCTGGCTGCTGTTGCTATATGGTTAGAGCATCAGGTCATGGGTTTGATTCCCAGTCAAAGGCACATATCTGGGTTGAGGGCTTGCTCCCCACCCGCAAGTCCGGGGTGTGCGGGAGGCAACCAGTTGCTGTGTTTCTCTCACATCGATGTTTCTCTCTCTCTCTCCCCCACTTCCTCCCTCCCTTCCACTCTCTCTGAAAAGCAATGAAAAAATATCCTCAGGATTAACAACAACAACAAAAAAGATAGCTTAAGCACTGACTGGGGTAAAAGGCTAACTCTTCCATTCACTACAGGGTACAACAGTGTTTTAGTTTGGTAGCAAATGCCATTTTTATTTTTTAGTGGTAAGTTCTGAATAGGGTTAACCACATGACAAGGTAGGTTTTGGTTTCAATGGCTTTGCAGGTACAACCCCTGTATGGAGCTGTGACATGAACCCCTGAAACCCACTCGATGAGAATGGCAGGAAAGCGTTTCCTCTGTTTCCAAACGCATGACAACATCGACTTGATTTGGGTGCGGCTGGTTGCTTACCCTGGACCACGTACAGGGAGTAAGTTCCCTATTTTATCAGAAGACTGGCCTTTTACAATTCAAAACAGAGAAGGACATGTGGGTATTCCTTCTGATGACAAAGAGGAAGATTCAATAAAAAATGTTTGATGTTCAAAATAAAAGAAAAAAAAATACGGTCTCAAAAGTGCTTCTTTCCTGTCCAAATCCAGCAATACAATAAAAATGAAGAGTTTGAGCTGAGCAACGTTGTCATCTCTGTGGAGTCTGTAATGAATTTGCACATTTTACTCCAACTACTGTATATCTAATAGGAAAAAGATGTCCCCCATTCCCTGATCTAGTGCCAAAACAGTAAAAGGTGATTCCTTATGTTAACAATTTCAGCAGAATGGCTTATTAAAACCAGATTTTAGGGTATTATAAAATGCTTAGAAGCCCTTTAAAATGTCAACTAGGATCCCCAGAGACTACGTAAAATGTCAACCCAGCTCAAGCGCCTGTTTTAAGCAGAATGAATTAGCGGCATGCTGTTGGAGGCTGTTATCCAAAACAATCAGCAAAAAGGAAAACATCAAGCTTTCTTTGTACTTTTATATGAAATGGGCCATTAAGAATAATCTTGTGGATATTTAAAGATCACTCATTTATTTGAAGCTATGACTAAATATTAAGGTCCCAAACACCTCAGTGTTTCTTTTTCCTGTTGTATCTTTAATTAAAACAATTTCTTAATTTAGTCTGAAATTAGGTAGCACTCTCTTTCATGTAGTCTGTTATAATATATTCATGTGGTTATTGTAATAGTCTTTCCTTTTAACCAGAAAGGAATTCTTTTAGCTAGTCATCTTTTTCCCATAAAAGCTTTTGCTAAAATTTCCTAAAATATTTTACGTCAAAACTGATATTTCTCTTATACTTAAGATAAAGTTTTAATCAGTGATTATCACCTTTTAGTATTCAGACATATGAGTTGATGAATATAAAGCCAATTTAAACAATCTTAGTATTTAGTAGGTTTTACTTTTACAGTTTGGGTTTTCTAATTTGAAAATGACTGATATATTAAAATATGAAATATGATTACAGAAAGCATTTTTTTCTTTTCTAGAGTTTTTCCCAAATAAAACAGGTATAGAGTTTTTTAAAGAATGAAAAATTCCATGTGGAAGGTAGAAGTTGGTCAATAAAAAGGAAAAATAGATCAGAGATGTTAAGAGATGTAAAAAAGTGTGCATTTCCTTTTGATCAGTCTCTCTCTCTCTCTCTCTCTCTCTCTCTCTCTCTCTCGTTAATCCTCACCCTAGGATATTTTTCCATTTACTTTTTAGAGAGAGTGGAAGTGAGGGGAAGAGACAGAGAGAGAGAAACATTGACTTGAGAGAGACTCATTGGTTGGTTGCTGCCTACAGGCACCCCAACCAGGGCCAGGAACCCTTCAGTCCCTTGGCCAATGAGCCAAACCAGCTAGGGCTGATCAGTTCCGTTTTTGTATTACACATAGATATATTCACATTTTCTACATACAAGCTTCATATCCCTTTTATAATAACATTCATTTAAAAATCTCAATCATTTTAGAGGAAAACTGAGACAGAAGTTTAAGTGTTTTGTATTTTTTAATTTTATTTTTCAAGTATAGTTTATAGTTGATATTATTTTGTATTAGTTTCAAGTGTATAGCACAGTGGTCAGTCATAACTTTGCAAAGTGTTTCCCCAATATTTCCAGTACCCACCTGGCACCATGTCTAGTCATTACAATATTATCTATTGTATTCCCTATGCTGTACTTTATATCCTTGTGATTATTTTGTAACTATTAATTTATACTTTGAATCCCTTCACCTTTTCCACCCAGTCACCCAAACCCCTCTAAGGCTTAGAGGAAAACAATTTCTTTCATATAAGCCAATTTTTGCTTCTTTTGCATATGGGATTTTAAGTGTGGGCCAAAGTTCACATATAAATATAAATAAGTTAATAAAGAGAACAAGAGGAGAAGTAGAAAAAAATAAAACATGAAAATATTAAAATGATTATTAATACCCCATAAAAAAGAAACCTTTTTCCTAGTCTTAGTACAAATATTTCTAGATTTTTGAAGAAGAGACGATATTACCATTAATATAGAGACACACAACTAAATTAGCTGTAGTAATGGGGCACATATCCCAACAAACACAGACTGTTCCACCATCAGAAGAAAAGGCTCAATGCTGGAACTTATTTTCAGACTAGAGGCCTGGTGCATGAAATGCGTACACGGGTAAGTCCCTAGGCCTGATCAGTGATCAGGACGGATCAGGTTCCCCATCTCCAGGCCTTCCTGCCTCCTCCTTCTCTTGCTGCCTGCACATGCTCTTGCTGCAGCTGGTCACCCGGCATGTTCCACGCCACCCCCTGGTGGTCAGCGCACATCATAGTGAGTGATCTAACTCCTGGTCTCCCAGTGGAACTCCCGAGGGGACAATTTGCATAATTAGCCTTTTATTATATAGGATAAGCAGATAACATGAGCTGGCTGGCCTCCAAACCCCATATCTTTCAACAAGCCCAGAAAACAGAACTGTACATTTAATCCATACATCACTTAACCTTTCATGCTTTTCTTACCCAATATCTTGCTGATGTTGGAGTTGTGCATGTCGGGAAAGGCTTGAAGGATTTTCCTTCGTTCATCTTTAGCCCACACCATGAAGGCATTCATTGGACGCTTTATGTGGGGTTCATTGCTACCACGCCCTCTAGATTCTCTATAAATTCTTGATTCTGAGACTCCAGCACTTCCTAAAAATAGGACACATTGTTTCTCATTAGTGTGAAAACTTTTGACATTTCTGTTCCTTGCACTACTGTTTTTCAGACTATTAAAATATCTGAAAATAAAAAGTACATGTGATAATGGTACTTCCAGTTCTTGAGACAGATGCTTGTTTATGAAGTTTTTGTGATTAGCCTTGTGGTGGCAAATGCTGTATTTGTGTTTTTAATCCATTTATAATATATTTCCTTTTCTTACAATGGTGGATTATTTCACCATTTAGTTTCAAGAGCCCATAAGAAACTTGAATATGTGGTCTTTGATTGATGCAAATTGGACAGAGAATAGTTGAATTAGGTTAATAGACATGCAAGTACTATAGAAATATTAGATAGGCGAAAAAGCTAAAAAATTGTGAAGCACTAATATGTTTGACAGATTGGATTAGTATGGGCAAGTATGTGTCTCTGCTACCTAAGGACTATCAGAACAGCATATGCATGCCCCTTTCCTCTCTCTGAGGTTATATAAATAAAAATGCAGCTAGATCAAATTTTGAGGTTAAACTACAATATAGACATTCTCCTATAGTGTTTCTGGATTTTCTTTAAAATTATGTGCTAATAATAAATGCATAAAATATTCTGATGTAGCAATGATAGTCTGCTTCCCAAAAAGATATTTGAAAAAATACAGGAAAAAAGACAAATAGCTACATTACTATGGTTTCCTACCAAGTCAACAGCCACCTATTTAAGGTGGGGGAAAAAAGTTCCTTCTCCTTTATTTTGCCCCTAATGTTTGCCTAAGTTATCCAGAGACCCACTGACAGTTACATTCCAATCAGCAAGACTCATGATGATAAAACACGGCCAAGAATCACAGTGGAACCTCAGGGAGCTGCCATCACTCCTCTAGGCTTTATGTGACTTTGTAGAATAGCTTCAGCAGATTAAAGAGCTTCCAGAGGTTCTTGAGTTTAGGCAAAAAGAAAAAAGAAAAAGAGAAAGGAGAGAGAGAGAGAGAGAGAGAGAGAGAGAGAGAGCGAGAGAGAGAGAAACTGAACACTCTGACACCAAGTTTTCCAGGGCTATCATTACAAAATATGGAAGAGAGCAAGATTGGTACCATACAAAATTTTAAAATAATTTGAGATTTTGAGCATATAGTACTGATAAAAGCAGTTTCCCCCTTCTCCATCATATTCTTCCTTTCTTTTCTTAATTCGAAGGAATAGGAGTCAACCAAAATTACACTTGAAGACCTATGTAGCAGCAAACCAAAAAACACAGCATATCATTATTTCTCACTCATTATATGCTCTTTGGTCTCATGAAGATTGGGAAATACTTTGCATACAAGCATGACTGAATTCAACAAACAACAGTAACAAAACTTTGCTGTTTTAATGTCTGTTATCTTTCATATCCTTTATCATGCTAATATAACTTAAAATTTATGAAATGTGGTATACCAGTAATTGTTTTTTTATTGACAAAAATGAGTGCTAATATATGGCAACATCTTTCTAAAGCAAGTTTGTAACTAGCAAATGATCATTTGCACATCTGCTTTTTCCTGTTCTTACACCTTACAGCAACATAAGCGGTGAAGTGAATGTTCTGTGACTTCATCAGAGCTAAACAAGCTCTTTGTATGTACTTAGGCCAGGTTTATCTTATCCAAGCAAAGTAGAAAATAGAAGGAAATGTTTGGATATAATAGACCAGTAAAACACAGACTTTTCTTAGATAGCCAATAGAATAAAATTCGGTTTTGACATAATTATCTGGTTGAATGCTCAAGTTTGGTTAGTCCCTTGGCCAGCGAATTGGACTTAAAAGCATAATTGGCCCAAGGTACAAATAGGCACTTGTGTGTTTGGGGAGATCCAAGTGAGCTCCTCTGTCCTAAAGTGTGTTTTGCCTTGGTGCAGGCTTTCCTACAAGCGGGCAACTGCCTCTGCAACAAATAATAAATGTGAGGACAGTGCTCTTCCAATGCATACATGTCACCTGACACTGGAGAGACCTTTCCAGTTGGGGCTCCGTGTTAGAGGAATAACAGCAGTTGCTTCTTTTTCCCTCTTTGCTGTGCTATTAAAAGTGGATCATCAGCTTAATTAGTTGTCACTGCGGATGTTTAGAATATTCAGAGATGATGCAGACAACAGAAGTCTCGAGGCATGTGAGCAAGGCAAGAGTCTGGTAGGTGGAGTTCTACTCGGTTACAGAGTAGGCAGAGCACGTCAATGTATGGTAGATAGCGGAAGAGGGAAAGGTTCCAAAATGCAAGAAACCATCGCAAAAATGTCCTCTGAACCATGTATTCTGGTCAGGGGTTGACAAATGAAAACTGGAAAATGAGCTTATAGATGCAAATTTCTGAAAAGCTTGTTTCAGGTACAAGAAATAAGGAAGCGAGAGACAGGGTAGATGGTGATTAAGAATATTTGCTTGGAATCATTTCATTTTGAATCCAAGACCTGCCTCTGGCACTTACAGCCCTAGAACCTTGGGAAAAAATGATTCAAATTCCCTAAGGGCCAATCTCTTTATCTGGAATCATATTTATCTCACAGGTTGTGCCAGGGATCCATGCAAAGCACTCAGCAGAGTGCTGGGCACATGGGGGCTACTCAGTACACATGAGCTCCTATTGTAATGGTATACTTTTTACTAGTTGTAATTGTACTAAATGGACACTTCTGCACACTATTGGAATACATATCAAATCTTTACAAACCATCCGAATCTCCACTCATATTAAAATCCATCATGGAATGGCTAAATTTTCCTTCTTCATTCTGTTTAACTGCTAGTTGCTGAGTCAGACTCTCCAGTGTTGTTTTTTCCTAAAAAATAAAATAAAATAACAAATACTTAGTGAGAGTTCAGTCTGAAAATGATAAATATTCAAAGACATTTTTTTCTTGGACCATAGATAATACATCGGCTTTTGGAAGGGATGGGATGTTGATTTATTCACCTTTGTACATTCAGCACATTATGTAGTTGAAGCAAATGATCACCAGGATTTTTGAATAAATTCTTCTTATTCTTAGAATCTCCTTTACAGTGTTGGTATTTGGACTTGTTATGCCCAGAAGATAAATTCTGGGATTCTTGGAGATAACCTTCCCATATCACAACATGTACATAGATATGTCATGAAAGCAACCTGTATCGTAACATTTGAAATGCCTGCCTTATTTTTAGACCAACAGTAAAAGTATAGAAGTAGCATGGGACCCAGAGACAGTCTTCTAATAGTCAGGTAACCAACAGATAGAAGCATAATTCACAGTAGTGCCCTCTGGTTGCCATCTCCTTAAATGCCATCTGCATTCCTCATGCAAGAGGAATGAGGGCATTTAAATATTCATTGCTAATTGCTTGTCAAGGCTCCATACATTCAATGTGAGTGCCTGCTACTTGGACCACTATTTGGTGTGGATTGCTAAGCCAAAATATTGAGCTGGAGAATTATTTGAACTACAAATATACCAAAATTAGATCTGTAAGGAAATCAAATAATTTAAAAGCATGCAGTGCATGATTTGAATTCATGGAGAACATGCCATTACAAACAAAATTATTTTCAAAGAGAATATAATGCTTAATCTAAACCATAAGAGATATTAAACCACTTCCAAATTAGCTGAGTGAGTTTAAGAACAGAAAAAGCATACAACAAAAGCTTTACACCTTTCTCTAGCACTCTCCATCACTGCTCTGAGGATAATGTGGTTCCAAAACAGTTTTAAGAAAAGCATCTGTTGGATTTCATAAAATTTGCTCATGTTTCTTTATAATTATTCACCTTGCTTTCTGAGAAACACAAACATGAATTGAACAAGTGAACCACATACACTGCGGAACAGCCACTGAAAAAATAAATCTTCACAGGAAATAATCAACTATTTAAGATAATTGTATTACAGGTAAAAGCCCAGGTAATGTTCCCACCAAGAGACAAAGGGTTTGGAAATTAATACAGTACATGCTTTATCTCTATACAATCTCTGACAGTATTACAGACTAGATTAAAAATTCTCTTAATTTAGTGGCCGTGGAACTTCTATTCTCTATTTGTCAAATTCTGTATATGATTTAGTAGAAAAATATTTTTAATTGTAAATTATTATAAAACTAGAGGTTCAGTGCATAAAATTGGTGCACTGGTGGGGGAGAGAGGGGGCGGTTCCCTCAGCCTGGCCTGTGCCCTCTCGCAGTCCAGGACCCCTCAGGGGATTTAGCAGTGTGCCAAACGGCAGGTGGGCACTGCTCGCACTTATCCTGGCCTGCCACGCCTGCCGCAGAGTCAGGAGAGGCTCCCGCCATGGCAGCTACACTCACCAGCTGTGAGCCCAGCTTCTGGCTCAGCGGTGCTCCCCCTCTGAGAGCACACTGACCACCAGGGGGCAGCTCGTGCATTGAGCGTCTTCCCCTTGGTGGTCAGTGTGTGTCATAGTGACTGGTCATTCCAGTTGCTCGCTCCTAATGGTCGCTTAGGCTTTCATATATAGAAATTACACTTTGATTGGTTGAACGGCCAACTGGTCAACCTGACACTTAGCATATTAGGCTTTTATTATATAGGATACAGTAAGGAAACTTGGAATAAAATAATTCTATCAACTTTAGTTCTATAGGGTTATCTAGTGCTAACACTGAAATACATTATCAACTTAAAAATGTAGAACCTGTCCCAATTTGTTTTGTGTGTATAGTTGGTATTTCAACTGTTTTATATGTTCTGGGTTTCTTTTGCTGAGAGTCTTCTGTTTATGTTCAGCTGAGCTCAGGAGCACCAAGGATACCAGCTTGACAGATTCTCATTATATAAGTGTAGTTGTTAAAGTATGAGATACATAAGATAGTTATGCAAAACACAACAACACCTTCCATCAACATGATAGGATAGTCCCCAGGCCCATGAAGACTACTGTACTATCTTTGGGAATGTACTGGGCCTGGATCACCTCCTAGGTTTTGATTTAACAGTGTATATGACAATTGTGCTACATATTTTCTTTTTAAAGATTTTTTATTGATTTCAGAGAGGAAGGGAGAGGGAGAGAGACATAGAAACATCAATGGTGAGAGAGAATCATTGATCAGCTGCCTCCTGCATGCCCCCTAGTGAGGATCAAACCTGCAACCTGGGCATGAGCTCTGACCAGGAATTGAACTGTGACCTCCTGGTTCATAGGTCGATGCTCAACCACTGAGCCATACTGGTTGGGCTGCTACATATTTTCTAGAGAGTTTTCCATTCTGAAGTAAAGTCTTTCAAGAAGAGAAACCAAAATGAAGCTGATCAGAGTAGAAAAAAAGAAAGGTTAAGTGACGTTTAAGGTTCTGAGTTCAGCTGTATGGATCTTGTACTATCTTACCAAGAGGCTAAAATTAGTAAATATGAGTGAGTAGGAAAGTCACAACCAGTTTTTAAAGTAAGTAACTTCTAAGTATCTACCTCTCAAGCACATCGTGTATATAAAAAAATGACTCAATTAGTTACCCGTAAGTGGAATTTATAATACTTCTCAAGAGGATGTTAGTGGGAGATAGTGGAAGTTAACATGGTAGGATTCACTTTTTGTGTGTGACCCTTTGCCCAGTCATTGACAGGTGACTGGAGGAACTGGAGAATGTGTGGAGTGCCTTTAATTTAAATACCTTACAACAGCATGTAAGTCAAAATGGTAACATTGCCACATTTTAGAAACCCTCTCTGACAATAAATTCAGAAGACTTTAAAGGACTGAGGTAAGGAGGATATAATACAACCCAAGTGATTATATGTTAAATATATGGTACATACAAATATAGTGCTTACATGATAGTTCTTATGTAATTCCATATAAAAATTAATACTGTAGTAAAAGTTTATATTTAGTTCTTATGTATAGAGATAGACATAAATCTACATGTGGCTAGAAGTCTAGATAATATACTGAACCACCAAAAAATGAGATTGATTTAAGAATAGTTCTCAAAGTTTAAATTCAATCTATTTAGGCATGTAGGAGAAGGAAGTATCAGCCAAATGTTATAAAGCATACATGCTAATACATTGGGAAGATTCCTCTCATTTTACTTCTTCCAATCTTACACATCCCGGGCTGTCTCTTTCACAAGTGTCTACTATGTACTACCATGTCTCAAAACTCGACCACTTGAGATTCTGTTCCGAGGATCAAATCATTCCAATTCCAAAAGCCTCTATTCAAGTGTGCATATATTACTGAAAATGGTAAAATTTCTAGTCTCAAAGTTCTTATAATCAAATCAGTTCTTTCTAAACTGAAGCAGCTGAAAACAAATGAGGTAGGAAGGGAGTAAATAGGAAGATGCTGAGAATGGGAACCATCGAATAAATTAAGTTTGGGGAAACAGAAAAAAATGTTTATGAACAGAGGTGACAATTTTTATCATATACATTTTCTCAGTTCCAACAGGCTCCAATAAAACCACACTAACCAATAATTTGTACAAATAAGGAGCACTCCATGCCCCCACTTTAAGATCAGTGTTCTGGAACACAGATCTAGTTATACTTTACTGCTATCTTACTACTATCCAAGCACTGATCTGAAACTGACAAGGTAGCTTCATTCTTTGTTATCTTTTTTTATTATTATTTATATAACAAATATTAAAGAAAAACAAACACATATCCTATATAATAAAATCCTAATATGCAAATCGACCAAACGGTGGAATGACCAGTGTAATGACCAGTTGCTATGACGTGCACTGAGCTTCCCCCAGCCCATAGGCCCCACGCCAGCCAAGGCAGATGCCAGCAGGGCCTCACCCCCCATCTACCCTCTGGTCACCCTGCAGAGGGAGGCGACTGGCGGCAGCTGCAGGGGGCAGGGCTGGCAAGCAGGTGGTGCCATGCTGCCCAATTCGGGTGCCAGTGGGGGCTCCCCAATCGCTCCACCAGTCGCCCCACAGATCAGTCCTGATCCCTGGGCAGGGCAGGCCTAGCGGCCCTACCCGTGCATGAGTTTTGTGCACTGGGCCTCTAGTAAGAAATACTTGCTAAAATCCTACACTGAACTAAGTAATTTCAGAGTAGAGGGAGCAAGCAGATTTATTACTAAAAAGTAGTAAAAATGAAATAGTCTTGAGGATTTATAAATTAAGACCAAAAAAGATGACCTGTATGCTTTCTCTCTTGAATGAAAATGAGCAATTGGATAACAACTACATTTCCTTTGGAAAGATGATTCTTATGTGGCCAATTAAATTTTATACAACTATGTAGGTTTACTAAGGTGGGAAACCTTAGGTAGTCTGGTTTTACTTGAAAAAGCTTATAATCCCATTTTGTATCTCATCACAGAAGAAAAGAATGTTTTAGACTATATAGCTTCTTGGGGTCAAATGCATAACTCTAAAAGTCAACACTCAAAGAACTATTATCAATGTGTTAATATTCACTTAGAAAATTTGGCAGCTGGTCTTGGGTCCTGTGGCTTATCCAATGACTTGCAGAATGGAAAACAGCACATGTATTGTTTGCATGTGACACCAGGCTATTGTGGAAATCAACAAGGAGAGCCATTAAACATCTAAAGAAATGTGGTCAGTGAGTTGATTAGAAGTGGTCAGTGAAGAGCTATATTTCTAAGTTAAGAATGTTTTGAATGGCAAAAGGCCTCAGGGATTAATGGGAAGAGGACATATTTGTAAATATAGATAATAATCCATTTAGAAAATAATGGGTTTGGGGATCAAGAGCATCATGTCTTAACCAAATTGCCACATATTTTAGCTGTATTGCTCTGGACAAATCAATTCTCCTCCCTGCATCCCAGAATCCTATCTGTATAATAGGGTT